CAATTTACATCCGGCGATGCGCGCGTTTACCGATTCATTCACCGTCTCAAACCCAGGGCAAAACTACACAGTCAGTGAACTTTACGTATTCCGTTAAAATCACGCATTTCTTTACGGGAAAAATGATTGTCACAGCCTCAAAAAGGTATTTTAGTATTGAGGTGCCACAACTTGATGGGGGATTTTTTCGGGCTTTTGTGGCGAAACGTCAACGCATATAGAAAAGACAGAAAGTACTTCAAAATAGTCCAAACAAATGGTCTTTGGGTGAAAGAAAATACTAATGCTTCAGAATGTACTGCTCAGAATAACTCGATCTTCGCTTTCGCTTTCGATAGCATACCTTCGCCTTCTTCATTTTGGGATTTATGGATGAGCTTTTCAAGCCTTGTGAACGTCTAAAACTTCCTGCAGTTATCAGAAACACTGCATGCTACCGACAGAGACCGCCCGATTGTTTACGTCTGATGATAATGGAAGCTGATTTATACTTCATGTGCTTGTGTTAAAGCGAGGGAATCTATTTGATGAGAACTGTGGCGGAGTTCAATATTTCAGTAATTGTTGTGACTAAGATGATAACTCATAAGTTTCTTCGTGGTGTCCTGCTCAGGATGCATGACAGATCTGCCGAAGGTGTTTTTCACTTAGCGATTTTAGCGTTACCCTGAGACTCGGTAAACTTTGATTGTTTTTCACAAGTGCCCGCCAAGGTTCCGGCTGGTAAGTCAAAAACGACTTCTTTATAAATTTTGTTAAGGAAAAATTTCTAAAGTTTTAGCTGCTAAGATTAAATTTACTTTCTCTCACTGTTTTTAATCGGCTTTCATCGTTTCAATGCGCTCAAATTTTCAGAGCCGGGCTCTTCCTAATTTGCATAATCCGTAATCGGCCCGTGGGCATTACGGCTACATAATGACCGTTCAGATCTCGCTCTTAGCCAATCAGAGCGCGCGTTATATCGGCCAAAAGCCAAAGCCATATAATAATAAAAATTAATGATTCGTGTGAAGCTGTGCTTGAGTAATCTATGAATATGCAGATTAAGAACAATTTTATCACTACTGATGAAAACGTGATGAAACACTAGTGATTTTCAACTGGTGTTTCATTGAGTTTCAAACTCATCCACCTGATCCGAATGGGGCGCTCTGGTTGGCATATAACGTCATGAATTATTAATGAGTTTGAGAATATTCGGGAAATATTCGACTGCCGGACACGGAGTATTTACGATTTCGTGTCCGGAAGTTCGCGGCGAGCTTCAAAGTTACAAATACCAGTATAACGGGTGCCGAACTGTCAAAAACTCACTCTACAGTGGAAATAGTGAAAGTTTCCGCCATATAAACAAGGATTTGATATTATTAACTGAAAATTTTAAAAAAGTTTGACTGCCGGACACGGAGTATTTCGAAAAACCTGTCCGGCTGCCGGACATAAAGACATATACTTACTCGTTCAAACCATGGTACAATTCTCGTGAGAATTTGAACACCTCCAAGAAAGCTTCAAATCCTCCCTCTTGAACGAAAAAGTGTCTTTGAGCAACGGTTCTTAAACATTTCCATGGGGAGAAAAAGGAATCTTTAAGTTTCTGTATTACAAGACTTGCAATCTGGTGCCGGACAGACAAGAAGTCATGAAGTCTCCTCAGGCTGTCGGGCTCCTCTTTTGCGTTTATGACAGGAAGCTGTCTGTTGAGATTTACTACAATTTCTTGAGCGAAGCTCTTCAGCACATCCACTAGCTCACTCATTCGTGTAATGTTCGCTACAGCAAGAAATTGCACCTTGAAACAGTCACCTTCCCGGAAATACAATCTGCTGAGAGTCATGTCATCGTCTGTTACCGGTTGTTCCTGATAAAACAGTTGTTGATCACAAACTGGTGCTTGAATGGCGGCCTGAATAGCGTACTTTACATCTCTGATGGTTACAGTTTCAAAGTCGGAAACAGTTAGCTTGGTTCTGCCTGTTTCGTTGTTGTCTTCGCAGCTATAGTCCACATAAAAGTCCATCATGGGTTGGATGTTGAGTGCGGAAGTTCTTTCTCTCTGATGTTCTCGTAAAGTTGTTAGCCAAGACTTTAGTAGTTAATGAAGTTTGTTTGGAAATACGAACGATGTTTAATCATAAATCTTTACGATCCGCGAGAACTAATTTCCGCCTTAAGACTATTTCCTGATATTGGACTTGAGTGACACTGCATTTCCAAATTTGGAAACTGATCGTCACGCGAGGGTTGTCCAATACACCCAACTAGAGTCGATTCGTGTTTTAACTTGACGATTCGACCAAAGGGATGTCGATTCGAGGACCCTCTTTGATGGAATCGACACGAGTCGTCTCTCTTGCTGTCGATTCGTCATGCCGGAAGTCGATTTGCGCGAGACTTAATAAATATAGCGCATCTGGGCTTTGAGGCTTGGTTGAAAATGTTGTCGATTCGACACGATTCGATCGAATCGACACGAATCGTATGCCTTGCTGTCAATTCGTCATACCGGAAGTCGATT